AAGAGCCCCCCCCCCACCTGTCTGAATGATTACAGGCCAGTAGCACTCACTCCAATCATCATGGAGTGTTTTGAGAGAGTGGTGCTGGGCCACATTCAGAACAGCATACCGGACCCCCTGGACCCCCTGCAGTACGCCTACTGGCCCAACAGGTCCACCTCAGACGCCATCGCCACTGTCCTCCATCATTCCCTCTCCCATCTGGAAAATAAAGACTCTCCCACAAATTGTCTACACTTGGTCTACACCCCTCCCTCTGTGACTGGCTCCTAGACTTTCTGACTGACAGACTCCAGCCAGCATCATTATAAACATTAGCACCCCACAGGGATGTGTCTTCAGCCCCATCCTGTACACCCTGTTAACCCATGACTGTGTCGCCTCCCACAAGGACAACATCATCCTGAAGTTTGCAGACAACACCGCAGTGATAGGACGCATCACTGGCGGCAGGTCTGGTGTCATAGTGTGAGGACAACAACCTCACCCTCAACAAGTACAAGATGAAGGAAATGATAGTGGACGTGAGGAGGGAGAGGAGACCTCATCGGTCACTGTTCATCTGGGAGCTTGAAGTAGAGAGGGTGATCATCTTCAAATACCTGGGCGTCCACATCAGCGAGGACCTCGCCTGGACACTGGACACCACACAGCTGGTCAAGAAAGCTCAACAGCGACTGTACTTTCTGAGGAGGCTGAGGAAGTTTGGCATGTCGGCCAAAATGACCATGTTTACACATCCAGTCTGCACATGACTTTGCACATACAATGTTTGCACTACAGTTTCTTGCTGCCTTAATTATATTCCCTTTTGTGTATATATTCCCTTCATATTTTTATCTATATTGTTTACTTTTTTAATCTATTTATAATTGAGTGTGGATTTATTTTTTCTGGTATTTGTTGCAGTCAGCAAAGGAAGAACTGGTGGTGATCTGAGTTACTTGCATGGGTTGCGTGGGGTTTTCTGCCCTCACATATTGTTTGAGCTCTCCATGGGTTCCCTCAGCCCATGGGCCCCAGTGCACCTGCCCTGCCTGCACTGTCTATATTTACTCCCCTGCTCTGTGGTATTGCTACTTTTACATAAGTAGGCCTTAAAAATACTACACAACATCAATATTTTAGGCCTGTTTTTTTTCTAAATTATTGGGGAAAATGTAAAAACAAAAAACAAAACAAAACAAAAAAGTTCCGGCCGACCTTACTGTATCCTTACGCACCCCGCAGTTTTATAGTCTTTACATGTGTCGTCAAGTTAACAATTCACAGGAAGCCTAGTAAAGTACAGAAGTGCAACCTAGAGATAGCCCTGATGTCATCTTTTTGACTCTGTGTGGTTGCAACACACCGGGTCACCTCCTGGCTGTAACCCTCCTGCAGCCTGCAGGGCAATGGGCCAGTCTGCGTGTTCCTCCCACTATTTTCCACTGAGCGACAAGGCTGCACATTGTGCTCACACCGGCCGGCCAGCCAGCCAAGGTTACACAGTCGCTTTCTCTCCCCCGCCTCTCAAGGTAGGCACACAGCTGCATCTCTTCATCTGCACTCCACATTTCGCTCATGGTGAGGCTTTCTGTATTATTATATTTTTTTAAAAAAGGGAAATGGTTGCAGCGCGCATGGCGTCTGAATTTACGCGATGAGTTTGGGTGATGCTGAAGCGGTGACCTCTACTGTTACTGTAGCCTGGATGCGATCGACAGGATGCGATACGGTTTGTTTTTTAATTAATTCCTCTGTGGAAGTTTGAGTTATGAAATTAGAGGATGATGTAATGAGATAACCGCCGTCATCAGCTCAGCGCTCCCAGCTGAAGTGGACACCGGGCTGCTGTTTTATACCGTGGAGTACAGTCGGTGCGTAAAGTGCCGTTTACATTACACGTGTGACCTCGATGGAAAATTACTAGTCGGCCTATATAGTGCTAATAATGTGGTGCAAACAAGCGGCAGGACGCGGGTGTAGTGCCATAGTTAATTTGCCATGCATTCACAGTGCTGCATGAGGCTAAAATACCTACTTTACAGACACAGACCGACCAACACTGCAGCATATATGTTGGCTACTTCTGCAGCTGTGACAGATAGTTGTCAAACTTCCTGGTGTTCCTCCCCGTCAAAACTTTTCCATGTTGCCTTTCAGGAGTGGCTGTGATTTGTAGTTTTGCATGTCTGGATGATTATATGCACAAACTGTTGTTTCTGGAGAGCCATTCAAATATAAATACCATACATTGTAGTGTAATTTATCCTTGCCAATGTCTTATTATTGATCTCTGTTGAGCTGTGTATTACATGCATACACATTTAGGCAATTAAAGTAAGGTACCTGGCCACAGCAATGCAACATGCAGTATACACTAGATTTAGACTATCTATCTATCTATCTATCTATCTATCTATCTATCTATCTGTCTAAATGCCAAAGGAAGAGAAGGATATGGGGCTAAAAAAGAGAAAGTTATACATCTTAATAGTACATTTTCTCTCCAGTTTTCTTATATAGGTTTTTCTTTCCATCTTTTATTTTACGTTACAAATCTGAGATCAAAACTTTGAATGTTAGCATTTCGATTTCAGCTTTTCTATTTTCTATTTCAGGCGTTAAAACTCAAATTGCCATTTCACAATATCCAATTGTAATGTCAACATCAAGCTTACTTTTTCAGTACACCTTTTCATTTTAACATTCAATTACGGCCTGATTATTCTGGGTAGTTCAATATGATATTATTTATTTATTTCTCTTTGTAATTCTGGATAAACTCATCCTCAGTTCGCCTCAATTACAGGTACATCATCATCATGTAATAATCCAATATGACTGCTAATTTATTTGCAGTATCAGCCACAGTACAGTCAGATAGTTTAAAGGGAGAGCCGCCTTGACTTTGCTACCTTCTATGATGACATTTTTATATTGTTGTTTATACAGTCATATCGCCCAACCCCAACTCTTACAGTATATTAGACTGATTGAATAAATCATTATCAGCTGCAGTGATGAAACCGCTTGTTCCGACCAAAGTCCAGATGATGCATTAGTGTTTCTCAAGCTCCTCCTTTGATTGTTTAGATATATTTTGCATCACTTCCAACACTTAGCTAGCAAAGACTCACTGGCTGGCTGCTAACATGCTTTCCTGTTGTGGCTCATCATGCTCTGATTAAGGCCCTGCAGATTATCATGTTTTGGTGTGGCCTAATGCATCTCTGATAATCAGAGCCCGGATATTAGTGCGCTGAGGTTGACCAGAATAAGCCATATTTGATTCCTGTAGACAAGTGATTATAGACAAATGCAGCTATCAGTAATGTGCTTGTTTGTTGCATGCAGAGTGGAAGTTTTGACTTTACATAGGCTCCCTGTGCATAAATTCCTTGGTAAGATGGTATACATGTTGTTTACAAGGGCGTTTTCTTGAAAATACTCTCATTACGCTGTACATGTTTACGTATGTTTCCTGTGTGGCATGTTGCAACTCACATGAATATGGCCATTCACAGGCTTTAAGTGAATACGCCTCTATAGGAATTAAAATAAATGCATTGGATGCATGTAAACAAAGTCACAGGGGTGTCCCCTCAGTTCTCTTAGTCATATTTCAATATCATATGACTTCATATAAGCTCTGTGAGCAGATTGAATTGAGATGCTTTAGCTAAATTTGATAGATGGACTCACGTTTCTGTCTGTTAAGTCCAAGGGTGTTCTGTTAGCCCGTAAAGCTGCTTTACCTTCACCTCAGATGTACACAAATCTGACTGGAGCCAAGCTATTGTAATCATCTGCAGGGTAAATTAGATTTGTTTATCATATTATAATAGGTTTTGTTCGGCGGTCTTTGTGTGAGGATAAAGGGTGATGACATGAAGGAGGCATTATGGAAGGAAGACATACAGTATATATAGTCTACCAGCAGTAGACGCAGGTGTGAAAACCAGTGGTGCAGCAGTCTGTGACGTAACTGGACTGGATTAAATGTATAGCTCGGACACACGTCAGTGGAAATAAAGAAATTCTGCGGCTGCGAGGACGCGTTTTGTGCAAAGCCTGAAGTGATACAGCAAACAGTATAAAGGCAGGATTGTGCAAATACATCTAGGGTGATACTGAATAAAGAGTGTGTGCCTGAGTTAACAGGTTTACAGTGTGAAAATCAGCTGCAGGGGTTTGCATTTGCTCAGCAATGTGAATGATGTCACAATTTTATATGAGATTTTTCTGTAAAGGGTGGTTGTTCCAGAGCTGTAAGGTGTTGTGTGCAAAAGCTACATCAATACTAGTACAAAGTATGAGATAAAGGAGGGGTAGGAACTCGACTGTGTAACTTACATGTTTCCTGCAGTTTGACGATACATTAGAAGGGGGTGGACTTGAGAACAGACTCGCTAATAAAACTTCTTTGTATAAGAAAAATGACCCAGCTGTGAATATCCAGACATTCATACAGCTGTCTGCTTTATATCACAGGGTTGATCTGACTGTCACAAGCAGAGCAGTGGAGTCTGATATTACATGGTAAATCACATATACTGTTTATGGAAAAAGTGCTTAACTCTTACAGAGATAAACTGCAATTTTCAACTGTCCCTGACAGATCCACAGGCAGCTGTTTGAATCCATAACCAAGGACAGACCGATCAAGCAAGCAGTAATGCACCAACATAACTTGACAGCTAAGGCAAGAGAGCATGCACAAAGATTTAGAGGTGTGTTTTGTTAAAGTAAATTGTAGCAGCGCTGCCTGTGCTAGACAAGGTTATGCAATTATTAAAAACCTGGAGTACATTAGTGGTAATAAATCTACACATTTCATGACCTTCAACAATTTAAAAGCCAGAGAATCACTACACAAACATCTGGTTATCGTCCGGACGCACCTGCCTGCTGGCTGCTTGTTTTACAGACACATTTGATCTGTTGTTTGAAACCACAGCGGTGTGGAAGATCAGTTATTGGGGTGTGAGATGTATTAGAGAGTGTGAGTGGAGAGGCTGGAGCACAAACAGACATTTACAACAGACACAATAGGGCCCGCCGGTATATCCATATTATATCTAAATTGTGACTGTGTTGTCTTAGACTTTGGATATTGTAAAATCGTACATGTGGTCTTGTCCTGATTTTAAAGGCTGCATTACAGCAAGGTGATGTAATTTTCTGAACTGACCAGACTGTTCTAGCTGTTTTATTATCTGACTTTACCTACTTAGTCATTATATTCCCATTACTGATGATATTATCAATATTGAGGTATATTGTCAAAAATATTTCATTTTTTTCCATATTGTCCAGCCCTAAACATGATGGATATGTATCAAAATGGACAAGTTTTATTTATGTATGTATTTTTTAATACTGCATAGAGTTAATCAGAATTTACAGAAGACCCAAACCCAACCCAAAAAAAGAGCTTTGAAAAACTCACTGTACGCTACCTGCTCAGCTCCACATGATGGACAAAGCTGGTAAATAGTGCAGTTAGCAGATAAAGAGTCCGATATTCCCATCAAGAGTTGGTGGAGAACAAAACTGGGCTAAAAGAAGAATAAGTATTCGACTTAATAATGTTGTTCTGTGTTCGCCAGCAGCCCTGTCTCCAGAAATTACATTCACGTACAACTAATTTGAAACAGTAGGTGTGCTTTGTGGGAAATGTAAAGCTGAGGGATTTATGTTTTCTATTAACATAATGAGGAACCATCTGTCAAGCTGCAAAAATGTTGATGCTGAACATTACAGCAAAATGTTCACTGGAAACATATTTCAGTTGTGTTCAGCCGTAATAAGCAATCACGATCTTTCCCTAACCTTAACCAAAGTGCATTTGTTGCCTAAACCTAAGACATGAGTCAGCATCTGAACCCAAAGTTCTAGTGTCAAGGTCGTGCACTTTGTACACCCACAATGCCCCCCAAACACCTCTTTACTAAGTTTATGCAAAAGATGAATGCAGCGTTTCATTACCTGACAAAAAATGTGTCTAACAACATAATTCAGGCAGTGGCTACATTGCCACAACAACATAATTAAGAAAGCAGGTTAGTAACATACAAATGTCATTTATAGGAGACAGAGTTGCTGCTGGATGTATAAATAGGCAAGTGTTTGCTAATATTTTCACCATATCATCTTGAAAAGGTGCACATTATGTCAGTCGTGTGTAAGGTTAATTTTTTTGTAGTTTCCCACCTTGAAATGGCCAGAGGAAAAAAAAACAGTAGTCATGCTGCTTGAAATTATTGTTCTTTCTGTTTCCAGGTGACAAATGGAGACCTTCAATCATAAACTAAACACATACTTAGAGTCATGGATGGGCCCCAGGGGTAAGTCAAGTTGTCTTAGTTGCTGATGTAAAATCTGTTGTCGTCTCTGATGTGTGTGTCTACCAACATGTTGCACATGCTGTAAAAGCTCTGCAGAGTATTACAGTTAACAGAATAACAGAAGGTAGCAGTTGAAGTAACCATTACCTAAAGCCTTTGACCCAAGTCGTTCATTACATGCTGTACACATTGCCTGAACTTGCATAAGAAGCCAGCTGGGGTTTTTCACCTTCTTGCTACTAACCTTTCTAGGTGTTAAGCAAACATTCCTCAGCGTGCACTACCGCTGCTTTTCACTTCTCAAGTTCATGTGCTGTTACCAGTGAGGCCACCTTATCGGAGGTGAAAACCGAACTCTTTATCTCCATATTTCAGATCAGAGGGTGCGGGGATGGCTGCTGCTCGACAACTACCCACCAACCTTTGCACTCACAGTCATGTACCTTCTAATCGTGTGGATGGGGCCCAAGTACATGAAACACAGACAGCCGTACTCCTGCAGAGGCCTCCTGGTGCTTTACAATCTGGGCCTCACACTCTTGTCCTTCTACATGTTCTATGAGGTAAACAGGCTGCTCCACACTGAGACGTGTTGAAATAGGCTAATGCAATCACTGCAATGTCACATGCAGATTATAAAGGGCAAAAAAAAGGAAACAGACCTGAACCTGAGCCACATCCTCACTAAAAAACTCTAGTGTCCAACTATGACCAATTAAAGGAATACTTTAAAGGGACAGTTTGTCTCCAAATTAAAAAAAAGTATAGTCTTCCTCTTACCTGTAGTGCTGTTTATTAATCTAGATTATTTTAGTTTGAGCTGCCAAGTGTTGGAGATAACAGCCATAGAGATGTCTGCCTTCTATCGAATATAATGGCACTATTAGATGGCACTCAATTTGTGGTGCTCAAAAAAAAAGCGCCAAAAAAATACATTTGAAAAACTCAACAGCAATGTCTCTTTCCAGAAACCATGTCTTGGTTACTCAAGAAAATCCACAAACCTTGTTGTGAGCAGTTTCATGTAGGAACTATTTTCTTTCCTCTGAACTCCACCTACGAACTGTATCATCGCACAGAGGGCAGCATGCATTTTGGAAATTACACTTATTTACTTTCTTGCCAGAGTTAGAGGACAAGATTGATACCACTCTCATGTGTGTACATTAAATTTAAAGCTATAGCCATTAGCTGATTAGCTTAGTATAGCATTAAGACTGGAGGCTGGGGCAAACAGCTAGCTTAGCTCTGTCCAAAGGTAACAAAATATTTCTACCAGCACCCCTAAAGCTCACGAACTCCCTTTTTATTTCTGGTGTGTGACGTTTGATGTCGCAGCCAGCTGGAAAACAAGGTTAGTAAACATTAGAAAGCGGCACGGAGGCCAGTGAAAATGTTACGGTGGTTATTTTGTTTTTTATATCTGTTACTTATTTCACTTTCTTTCTCAATCTCGGGGCCAACTAAATTTTGAACCATGCTTGAGCACTGCTTGAATGGATACGAATGGTAGTTTGTGGCAACCCGTCATTGCATCATGCAGGCAAAGGGCTAAAAATAACATGTCCACATCAGAGCCGATAAATATCTGTGACTACCACACAGCCAATTGTAACCTTTCCCCTAAAAATACAAATGACAGATCTTAGTGGGTGTTAAAGGGATTTTTGTCCAGTAGGAAAGGGCCTTAAATAAAGGGACACTTTGCTGCTTTTAAACTAGATTTGTAAGGCAAGGCAAGGCAATTTTATTTATATAGCACCATTCATACACAAGGCAATTCAATGTGCTTTACAAGAAAAATACATTAAGATAAAACATTAAAGGAACAATAGATCATTAAAAACAAAAGCTAAAAGCAAGAAAAACAGTGCAGAAAATGCATTTAAAAAGCAAACATAAAGCAAAAGCAACAGCAGACAAATATAAAAACAATAGCTACA